CGCATCAAGAGGCTTTACATCGTTACGGTCACGTACTCGTCCTTCATCAGGGTATGCTTTCGTGATATAATTGACAAATCGCTTATCTTCCGAGCGTGCTTTAGGTAGGAACGAAAAATCTGAATGTCTCGCACGCAGACCACTAGTAGCTTCCATATTATTTCCTGTTTTAGCCTGATAAGCTAATCTTCCAAACCTACTACTAGCTATCTTAGCACGAGACATAATAAATTCCGTCAATTCGTTAAAATTGGGCTCTCTCTCCTCTTCGTCCGACTTGAATAGTAGCTCTGCCCACTGGGCTTGCATTCGACGAGGTAAGAGCCTTACTATTCGTTCTAAAGTAGTCATAGAGTTAAGTTCAGCTGTACAACTTAACTGTTCTAAAGTTAAAGAAGCATTCTGCATTTTAATGGCCAAGTTCGTCAATGATTCAGGATCATTAAATTCGACATTCCCAGTTCTAAATAAGTCCTCTAAGGTTTCTCGCGCTATCACATGTGACTGCCCAAAAAGCTGTTTTAAAATAACCTTAGCTCTCTTATATCCTGCCTGTGGGTCCATTATAAGACAGCCTTCGATCGCATTTTTAGCTTTTCCCTTACAATAATGGATTAAATACAATAAACGCACTTGATCATCCTTGATTCGAGGTTCTATAAACGTCTCTATCTGTCGTATGAACTTAAAATAGTCGCGAGACCTTCCATCAAAATATGAAAGCTCAACCTTAGGTAATTCTAAACCCTCTATCGATGACTTACAATAATAAATATCAGACATAACATGTGGGTTACCCATAAAAAGGTTATCATCAACGACTTGCCTAGAGCCCTGTGATCCGTCGAGCTCTTCCACCCTCCTCACGTGTGATTTTTTTCGGTTTGACATCATAAATAAAATTCAATAAAGACGGTAACGATACAAAATAGAATAAATCCAAAATTCAGTTCAAAATTAATGATAAGTAGTTCCAGCGTCTTCCTCCAAGGAAGTCTAGTATGATAAACGATTAAATTCCAAATGTTTCCTTGTAATTCTTAATAATCCAAATAGATCCAAATTATATGCGTCCCGACGGATATTTCCAAGTATAATTCACGCAAGAAGAGCAAACATCAGACTGTAGAATTTATTTCGCCGGCGGCTGTCCTAATCGCGTCCAATAGAAACACACCGGTACGATACTCCTAGATCCAGGTCCCAGCCAAACCAAAAGGCCAAAAATTCTAGGAGAAAACGTCTCTATATTGTTATAAAATGGAAATACAGAGGCTTACGATGTTTTTGTTTCTTCCAGGACTAAATTACTCCGTAGAGTATCTATTACAATAGCTAGTAAGTGACACTAAGTCCAGCAGCCACCGCGTCTATCCAAAAATGTGGCGGTAGCCATATTATATCAAATTTAAACAATATATGTACAATTCAGAAGCAAACACAAAAACTTCAATATAAGTACAAAATATGGAAAGAATAACAACATACAATGGTAAAATCTCAAATTGGAATCAAATAAAATACCAAAAATGTCAAGAGAAAAAGTCCATCAGGTCATAGCAAAATATGTAAACATGGAGGGATTTTCCAAAACACAAAGCATTCAAAAAGAATTCTACAATCTCTTCAGTTCATATATTGACAGTGAAACTCGTAGATTTAAGAGGTATTATACTGACATATACTGAAAAGTCAAAGCAGTATAAACAGCGGTATAACCTTTCAAATCCAAAAAATAAAATTCCTCAAACCAAGGCGTCGATTGACACAACCAGAAGGGATAATAATAGCAGTCACCAAGGCAGCGTTGAACGACATTTACAAAACTCAATTGCCCAAAATAGCGATAAGCTTAACTAGTCGGCACCCCTCGCCGGAATATGAGCCCCAAATAATGAGAGAAAACTCGAGGAACTAACTGGAGCCAGATACATCCTAGAGCTTAAAGCTGAAGAATTTAAGCAAAGAGTGATATCCTCCTACAATGCGGTTGCATATAATCTTCCTGACCACACATCCCCGGCTAAGCTAAGGGATACCTACCTTCAAGCTTGTCAAGTCACATGCCCTCTTTTGTTCGAATTTGACTGCTGTAAAGACGCCAAATAATTTATCCACTTGAGCAAACATATTAGAACATCAGCCCTTTCTAAAGACCTAAATGTTGCCCCAGATCTAAAGCCTTGTCAACGTCGTATAAAAATACGAGAGGTGACAAGATCACATAACTGTGTCTTAACAGACAATCTACTGCAGACAACTCATAAAGTCATAAAAAATCTAAACGCATAAGCCGCCCTGTAGATTTTGATGAGTCTATGGACTAAATTTTTAAGTAAAGTATGAATCCCGACGGTCATCGAGAAATCTAATTCAGGGTGTTAGACAGACAGACAGACAGATACAATGCAGAACGTCGTACGTAAGTACACCAGTTCAGGTTTGAACGTTAGTTCATTTGAATACGTGCCACAAGGAAACATAATTCCAGTCAAAATTAATCGTATAAAGACTAGGCCCCAAAATATCACACCAGAGGACTTAAACGAACTTGAATTAATCTCAAGAAACACATCCAGGGTGCCAAAAACTCTGTAAGCGTAACTAGGATAAGTGAAGAGACTATATCTTGGGTCTCAAATTAAAAAGGATGTAGGATTCAGACCAGCTTACCCACGACTCTTTCAGTTACGTTGAACAGGTTCGCCCCTCTAATGAAATGTGACGCACCCATAGCATCTAAGTTTCAAGGTTGATAATAATAAGGACAAGTCCGACCAACATCTTATCATGCACACAAATAATAATTATTCAAGCGCTAAGTACACTGCACGACCACCAAGCCCCACAGTTATTAGTGAATAAGGGAGTAGATTTTTCAACCCTCAAATGCACTTTCCCTACCGTTCAGCTATGTTTACCGTCAGCCTAACGCACCAGTAAGGGATCTAGAGATATTTTCAGAAGTAATAATAATTATTTATTCTCAAATAGCAACATGTTACAAGTGTTAAGATTGCTAACATATTTCTTGTAAAACGTTTTTCAGTTAGTGGAATATTTCACAAGATACATTGACTTCATATAGATGACTAAAATTTTTCACATAAAATTATAGATTGCTTTCCAGATTCTGCAATGTACAATCCGAATAATTGGCACGGGTTACAATGGTTGCATTATGACAGGCTGATAATGACTGCAAAACTATGCAAGGTAGAGTCAGGTCTACATATAACAAGAATTGATGAGTTAAGTATGCTAAGATCCGCTTGATATTCTTCACATGATAAATTTGAGAGTAGAATATGTCCAAAGAAGTTTCATCCAGCGACGGCTCGGATAGAGCCATAAACTCGACCACACAACGATGTAAACATCTTTCCCTAGAACCTTTACAGCGCCCTCAGTTGAATAACAACCTAACACTCCTCTATAAAATTACATTTGTTGCGGTGCTTGTATGAATGGTAATCCGGGTGCATTATATTCGTGGTCTGTCATTAGTTTTTATACCTTAAGGAATAAATCTTAGGAAAATCGACTTCAGAACTTGGGATTATTTATTCCGAGTTAAACTAGGATCATATGTGTTTTGATGCGGGTGTGCAACGTATTAAGCACGCCAAACCATTACAATGTGAGCATCTTACCGAAGCATAACCAACGCCCCACTAGAGTTAATCCTTCAAATCTGAGAGAGAACGCTCAGGTTCGTTCACACTTTTTCTCATTAAGATTTGCTGCAGCTTGGGATACTCTTACAGTCAAGGTGACTACAGCCATCGATAGTTTTAATAAGAGACTTTATAATCACGTACAGACACAAGGATTGTCATCTACCTCATGAAACAGCTGTGCCCGGTATATCTCTTGAAACTTGCTAGTTGTTGGTACTGACTGACTCTGTCTTGCTTATTATCTCTGCTTTCTCTCCCTTGCTTGACTACCAATTAATAAACTTAATTATCCATTTATTTATGTAGTTCTGAAATCTTATTAGCATTAGAATTTTCTCCTTATTATTCCAAACATTGCAAATAAATGACCTCTGACTTGAAAACGTGTTAGCTGCTGGTATCTATAAGCCCTACTACCTTAAAACAATGGTACTCGCTCAAATCACGGGACATACAAATTCATAAATAACTGCCAACTGGCTAGAATTAGGCAGTGGAGTGGCTAGAGTAACATCCCCTGCAAACTAATAAATACACATAAATGTTCCGAAAGGACAAGATTTAAACGCAAAGAAATCAATCAGTTTATAAAAGCTCATGAAAAAGTCGTTGGATACTGGATATTGAACATACGCACTCAGCTCAAACGGTACAAATGACCTTGCGGTATCTCTCATTCAGCAAGCATGTGTTCGTAAGGGAAAGAAACAAGCTTTAAAGATTGAATTGAGGTAATGGACATGCTGTGGTTCAATAACTTATCATAAGGCTGGTTTATTTTTATCTAACTTCAAATCTAATTAATTTCTTTTGTGAAATCATGTCAGCTATTTCGCTGGGTCAAATATATAGAGGGGCTAAATAATACAACGCATGTGGATAAATGTCTGGAAACTCTGTTTTAATTAAAATAATTTGCAAGTTAACTGTAACGCTCCTAAGGACACCACAAAATCTCAACTCTGGAAAAAGTTCTCTCATTGTTGAAGAACTCCAATTAAAAACCTTTACATTATCTCCTAATTAGTAGTTGTTTTTGACTGGGGTTAAATCTTTAAAGTAGTTTCAGTGTCTAGGTGCCAAGTTAAAGAATCTTTTATTATATCTGTTCCACTGATTTCCCTTTCTACCCTATTTACGTAAATAAACAGTATATGTACATACAGATCATTAAATTTTCGGTAATCTAAACTGTCTATCGGTTTAAAAACTGTTTAGTTTGTTTGAAAGCAATCGCACTTATATTTTTGTTCGATAACGAGTGTTTCTATCTCGACTCTTTCAGGTTTTCAAAAATCAGAACGTAGTTATTGGAAAGAAATGACTTGCAAAAGCTTGAAAACCATATGGCAACATTGCCCAATTACAGCTTTGTCCTATATTTCAAAAAGCTTGCTGGCTGTAGGCTCTGCGAACATATTGAGCATATATAACTTACGCGAAAAATCAGTGCTTTGTAAATATTTGTTGAAGCGTATCGTCATAATACACAAAATAGAGACAGTACTAGGTATTTACTAATTTGAACAGTTTAAACAACTTCGTATCTTAGATTACAAACGTAACAACTGTATTTTGTGTGTTTGTGGGAATAGATTTATCTCTGTCTTCAAATTCGATCTGTTGTCTTCTGACTTGTTGTTAATATTCGAGGATTATTATTGTGATAATGTTATACACTGTACAGTTAATTCAAATGATTCCTCGCTTCATCTACAAACTCTTTCCAGTCATGGTTTATTTAAAGTTATTACTTTGTCATGGGATATTAATCAAAATGAAAACAATGTCGATAGTACTTCTGTGTACCTTGAAACAAGTGTCTGGTGAGTGATCATAATTTTTCATAGAACTGTTCTCATATTGATATTAGTTATACAGGTCATATAGTTCAGTATTCATCTTTAGCCTCATTATTACCTTCATCAGTCGGCAAAACTTTGGTATTTTGCGGATCTACCTTCGGGAATATTCACATTTTCAAAATCCCGAACGATAATGTTCCACAATCTTCTCTGGCTCCGAGCTTAAGCTTGTGTGTGCAAAAGGTAAGGCAAGTGATGTATAGTGAATTTTCGTACAATGAAATTGCGACAACTTCATTGAATTCTTCAATTCTGTCACTAATAAAAAGGGTGTGATATTTTCTGTTGATTTGTGTTGTTTAGCTAGTGATCACTCATCGTCTAAAAAGTCATTCCGTTTGGTTTCATGTGCTGAAGATCGAAGCATTGCTATCTGGTCGTCTTCAGTCGAATCAGATGGAGATATGAAGGGTTTTAACCTGTGGGAATTAATATACTATTTAAAGGCAGGCAGCATTCTCGACGGTAATATAGTATTTGAATCTAGGATATGGTGTGTTCGTATCGGTTACTGGGGAATAGTAGCCACTGGAGAGGTGAGTATTTGTAGTCCTATATGATTTTTTGATTTGTTTTGCTGGATTTCAGGTCATATATTAATCACTTATTAAGTACTCTTAGTCAGTGTACTGTTACGGGTATGAGGGCAGATGTCACTGCTCAACTGCCCACACGGTGGGTGTTTCTTCAGGAACCTGAAAAGGAGATTTAACATCGTGAAATCTGCACTGTGTTATCAGAAAACTGGTATCCCTAACAAATGACATAGGATAATCATGGTACCACAAGTAATGTTTTTTCAGGTCTCGAGGATTACAACATGATACACATAACCTAACGGGCTAGCTGATAAAAAAATTGTTTTAAATAAAGTAGTAATCCAATTATAATTGTATATCACTGCTGATATGCTGTATTTTTAATGGGAGCGGAATTATCGTAAAGAATTTCAGTGTACCCATCTCATAACAATCTTACTAATTATGTCGCTAAAATGTTTGATGGAGTGAGCTGTAATTAGACCGCTTTTCATTTGCACTTGTTTTCCAGAAGATAAATAAATCAAAAGGTGTATTTAAAAAAATGATATTTCTGTCGACTGAAGTAAGATAAATTTAGAGTTGTTGAAATCTTAGTTTGCAAAACGTTTTACTTGGTATTAGAGCAACTCAGGTATGCGAAACTGGGCTACATTTAAACGATCATTGATACTGCGGAAAATTTGCAGCACAATTTTTGCTAAATACCTCTTTTTTCACTTTGTTTTTGGTTGTTAAACTTAGAGGAAATTTCACTGTTTTATTCATCGGGGTTTTTTTGCATTACTTGTTACTACTTACTAAAGCAGTATCATGTCAACTGATGTTTGTTTCCCTGTCCCGAATTTAAATGACTTAAGGTCGCAGGTAAACCACAAAACGATCATTCAGCGTTTGATTTTATTGATATTGTTGGCCTTTTATCAATATACTAACATATTTGATGTATGTGCTAAGTATATATCAGATCCCGATTGTTGGCAATGTAAATACCTTTTCAGGGATAACCAATTAGTTTTTAGTCTGTTTTGTGACAGTATGTAATTTATTCAGTTTTTGTTGGTTAATTTATAAATATGATCTTCATTCACGTAGTTTACACTTTGTAACAAAGTTTTTGTGCAGACGTTTTCATAAGTTACTGAATAAAAATATGTGTGGTTTCTGTTTGGAGCGACATAATCCATCGTAATGTAATTGTGTACATAGCTGACTTCTTTCTATTCCTAAGCCTCTGTCGTAATAATCTCAGTTTGAAAATATTTGTGTTCTTTTTAGGATTGTCGTGTTGTCTATTATCAGTGGGACAAAATGTCACAACCTACTGTTATGCGAAATATTCATCTTGGGCAAAATATTTGGTGTTGTTGTGTTTGGAGCGAAAGTACGGAGAACTCTGCATCTTTTTTATTGGCAAGTTTTCATGCAGATTCAGTGTATTTATTTTTTTTAATGGTTTCATCCTAATGCATACTTAAGAGTTCTTTTATATTTTGGATTCCAAATTTATAATACACAAGAATATACAACTTCTATAAGTTAAACATGCAACTGCGATGAAGCTTCAGACAACCTTTTTCATTGACTGTAAAATCTTGCTGTAGGATCGAAACGTTGAGTCACAAAGTTGAAGCTCGTTCTATCCATTTCCGGGAACTAGATAGTGTTGTTTGCTTTCAAAAAGTCTAGTACAATGAACCTGTACTTCGTCACTCAGTCTTCGAATTTCATTCATTTTTCGGCTTTTGAAGGTGCACGTATTTCGTTCTGTCCTTCAATTTTTTTAGCTCTGGTGAATTTAGAATTGACTCGTTTTCACATATGTGATTTCATCTGTTGTAATATGATTTATTAGTAGTAGCTTCATGTTTAACTCTAGAAACGTTGTCTGTTTGTCTCATCAATACGTTAAATAGTGATTACAATTCTTTCGAATTAGTCAATTTTTATTATATCATTTTTTTCAGGCTACTGGTGGGAACGATGGTGCTATATGTGTTCGTGAACTTAGAAACTACCATAATAATGGTCAGGAATCTGAATATATGATACTACCATGCCATGAAACTTCAACAAATAACGCTAAAGAGTTGATGGCAGGTTCACATAAGGAGAAAATAATGTCTTCTTTACATCCTCGGAAGGTATTGATGTTTTAAAATTCTTTTTACAGCCATCAGCTACTGATTCACACATAGTTGCTTAAGAAACAAGTTATATGCTGATAATACAGTGTTCACCCTTTTCTCCTAGTTCTCAATAGACTCTAAAACATTTCCATGTTAATACTGCATTGTGACATATAGGTGCGAACAGCCTTGTACTGTAAAGATTCAGACTCATTCCATACAGTTTGGTCTGGCCAACGACTTAGCATTGGAAGAAAGTCGATCTTTGTACCATATCGATGTCGCGTAGAGAACCATTAAAAATCTGAAAGCACTACAAACCTTGATTTGTTTCTCAGCGTATTCCGATAACCACATATAAGATTGAACTCAGTACCGTGATTAATGAATTTAATATACGAATACAGTAATAATGCAAGCTACCAGTTCATTCTTAAATTTTTATTCATGAAGCTTGAAAGCTTAATATTTTTCGCCGCAAAACTAGGAAAAACAATAATGCGACATAACTTTAGAGCTCGAAGTTACATTACAATCACGTCAAATTGATGTGGCAAGTTGGACCAGTGCAAATGTGTACACCAGGTTCCGCGTTGCTGATAACTAATCTGCTATACTACCAAACTTTATCAAATAACTTCGTAATTTGCACCTATCGAAATTTGTTTTTGTAGGTTTCTATTAACTTCAAAGAGAAAGACTTTGCACGTGTTCTATTTTTTGGTTCATGTGGTCGTCTATTCTGCATAACAAACCTAGGGTGAGTTAGAAATGAGTTTTACTATTTTTCTCTTATTATCTGCATGACGTTATTTTTGAGTGACTGTGTTGTACATGACTAACAGTTCAGTTCCATTTGCAATTGCTGTGGAGTGTCATAATTTATTAATTTTGAAGAATCAAAGTAGTGCTACTCACAGCTTCCCTTTTTCAGTTTTCTTATACCAAAATTTCATTTGCGTTTCAGACTTATATTCTCATGTTAGGTGATTAAAAGAAGTCAACTGAAAATCTTGAACTTAGGTTTCAGTGCAAGTTGGCATTCATCAGTAAAATATATGTTAAATAATCCTAAGGAGATTCATTCCCTCCGTATGTTTCGAACTTGCATCATTCAGTGTTATTGTCAGAGATGTTACCAATAATCTGTTCGAGCTGCAAATAACTTCTAGTAGGACTGATACACATTTAATCATTCAGTAGTAGCTGTTATCGCGTTGGTTTAGTACTTTGTTCTGGACAAGTTTAACATGGCGTTAGTGATTAATCAATGGAAACTTCTGTTCCCACTACCTAACTGTATCTGTTATATTTTAGTGTTTAAAATATCATTAACCATAGATGTTCATAAAATGATTGTTACAATAAATAGTCGGTGGTCGATCTCCTATTTTATATCTTTATCTTTAGAAATCGTTTAGATAACTGTATGACCATTAATCTGCAACGGAATACTAAATCACTGTTCTACTGATCCATCGTTAATGCCCTTGAATATAAAAATGGTCGCTGTTTTACACTTTAACACGATCACTCATGGTTTCTGGGTTTTCCCTGTCTTTGTAATGTTAGTCTGACAGCAAAAGATTGCATCTACAACGCATTGGTCGCAGCAGTTTTTCTCTACGCTTGTTAAACCTGACCTCTCTGAATTGAGGACGTTAAACAACTTTGTATTATGTCAACATTGTCTCCGAAGGATTGCTGACATTCAGTGGTAACAGCATTTTAGTAATGCATAGGTTCAGAAACGTGAATAATGACAATAATTCACCATCTTGGAACAACGATTTTGGTATCTTGGACATATACTATGATTGTCGTCTCAGCTAATTCCACATTGTACACTATTAGCCGACGCTGGGACTCGTTGGGAGAAGCACAGTAGTGGTCGGTTTATGACTTTGTGTTGTGGCACGAAAAAGTCTGTTCAGGACTGATATCTGTCGGTCTTTCATGACTGTGTGGTTGAGGTCCTAGAGCTAGCTCAACATAATGGCTTGAGACGTTATTGTACATATCTGGAGATAAAAACCAGTGACAGTCCTGCTGTAACTTTCCTTTATTATCTGCATATAAATGAAAGGAACTTGTTTCTGGTTGTATTTTTTTAACTTAACTACTTCCACTATTACTTCTTATGCACTAATTTCTATTTATTGTTGTTATTTTTTGTTTTATCCACCCACCTTTTTTTTATCTGAACCACTGAACGCATATCTACTGATGAACAATCCCACTTTTGACTGAATCAGTTTTTACGAAAGTTCTATGGTGACTACTACATTCAAGAAATCCAAAAGCCCTAAGTCCTCAGTAGGACTTGTAACGATTATCATCTTACCAGTTTCTTCCCAAAATAATATATATTTTGCATATTTGGACAGATTTTGTTTATGCTTGTCGCATTTAAACAACTAATTTTAGTGATGAAATAATATTTAACTATTTCTTCCTTATATAAATGATAGCTGGTATATTTTTCCTCAATATGCCATGTGTTCAAAGAGTTTGAATGATACTGAGATTATTTGATACTTTTCCTAGGCTTATTTATACATATTTCTATGTAAATGACCCAACTGTTCGACAAGTATATCCCGAAATTCATCAGAATTTTAAAGATACAAACGGTGTATTACAGTTTTCAGAAATTTCCACGAAATCTACTGAGTCTACAGTCTCTTTTTTGGGCGGCTACATGACATGTTGTACAAGTCAAAACCGATCTTACGCAGTAATCGGAAACATATCTGGTTATCTTTTACTCGTCAAGATGCTTAGAGGTAGGTGTCGCTTTTCGGTCATATTACGCATTTACAAACTCTGTAAAGCTTTGTCCCAATAATTTTCAGTTTGTTTCTAAGTCACATTTTTTATTCAAAAAGCACCAACCTTTGTTTTCTCGTTTTAAAATTTCAGCAAAAAAGGAATAAACTAGTTTGAAATTGCACGATTATCGGGAATGTTTGAATGATAGGACTATATGTGACTTGGATGTTGCAGAGTGGATCAAAGGATCTCTGAGTTGACGATTATATCCTGAAAAGTTGAAAGCGATTAGATTTTCTTTCATAACAAAGTTGATTAAATATACTAGACACTATTAGTTGACATCACTTCAGGTGAGAATTCTCACTAGACCCACAACTTTACAAGTTCAATTGAAATCCCTTTTAGAAAAATCATACGATTGTTTCACATTCCTTTAAATTCAGGCTTTCAGAGAACTAAGTTTCACCAAAATTACCCGCCTGAGCTACAAATGTTCTCCGCCATTTCGAGTTCAGACATGTTGGCACCTGCGCTCTGATTGGCCATTAGTTAAGTATGAACCTTGAGACCTGAAAAAAGAATTTTCTTAGAGTCAAGGAGTCGATTTTATCATTTTCCCCTTTACTAAATAACCGGTTATTGTGATCAGTCCGAATTTATTAGAAACAGGTTCTTACCCAAATTACTTCAGCTACGAGATCTTTGACTACGACATTGAGGTATTTGTAGATTTGTCTATAAAAAAGCATCACTTCCAACTTTGTAGATTTATCCTTTCGAAAAATGCTAAGAAACCTCATTACCATCTCTTCTGAAAACTCAATAGAATAGTGTCGTCTGAACACTTTATTTATCGATTAACAGTTTTGAATACTAAACCACCGTAGGTTTACATCTTAAAAATATACGGAAAAAACACAATTCAATGAAAATGTAATGGTTTCGTATTTAGCATGAGATTCGACAGTCTATCGTTCGATCCTTGGTGGAGTCGTGGGGATGCATTGGTGAAGAATCCCATACTAGGATGAAATGGTAATTCAGTGCTTCCTGATAATCAATGGTACCCTAGGTAAGATCAACCTTTGTAAAATACAACCGACGTATATATGGTTTTGAAAAAATATTAGCAACAGAATATGTCTACGATAGTGTGGAATTTAAACATCATTTTTGTTTCTTCTTTCTGTCAAATTAGACTCACCTTTTATGGAATGGTTAGATATCATTAATATAAATAATAAAATTATGAAAATTGTTTGGATTAATTCATCGTACCTAATAGTTGGACTACCAAACGGTGATTCTGTAGGTTATTGCTTATTTTCTTTTCAAATTTTCCACTTTCTATGGTAAATTGTATTTGAAAAAAAGAGTAATTGCCATTTTCCTCATAATTTTATGTTTTAACTGATCAAATTGATCAATATATATATATATATATATATATATATATATATATATATATATATATATATATATGCTAACGAACTGTTTAATATGTATATAAGAACTAAATAAAATGAATTACTCGATTACTTTAGATCCCTTATTATATTTGAAATCTTGTTATAAATATATTTCAGTGATTATCATAAATCAGCCTACAAATAAGGTGAAATTTTAATCTGTTCAATCTTATTGTTTAGTTTTTCAGGGAATATGAACAGTTTCAGTTGGCTGTTGTAGAAATTCATGGCAAAGACCCATTTGTTAAGCTTATTCTTTTATTCCTCTTTGTCAAAGTTTAAAAGAGGGAAAATTGATAACTAGGATACATGTAAATATGCAAAGAACGACAAATATTTTGAAGGTGGTATTCGACCATTTTTATGGAAATTCCAATCTTCCTAAATTTCGAAAAATATTGTGATATTTCATCCGCACTACAATCCATGGGTCTATTAAATGTGTGTTAGTTTAGCGACCAACCGTTCCTTTCGTTTAAAGGAAGGTGAGATGATTATCTACCTGGAAGTACGATTTCGTCCTCAATCATTGGATTCGTTGCCTTGGTCTTGCCCATCTCCGGATGATCTACCTTTATAGACTGTTAGGGTTCCAAGAAACATTTATTCCAGCCATTACACCTAGGTTTGCTTCTCATAACAAGAAATTCTATCGACTACTCCAGTAATATTTGACGTAGCTTTGTTGATCATCCAAAATAAAACTTTTGGCATATGAAAATTTTTCCATTTACTTAAGTCTTTCATCTTAGTCACTGTGACAACTCATATTGAATATATGACTACCTCACGTTTTAACATTGTTTAGCTCCACAAACTGATTCGCCTTGTTTCCGTAATATCTGTCGTCTAACCTCTGCGCTACTCAGTTGCTTGTCCCATCATAATCAAAGAATGCTTTGAAGACATCATTTACTAGTAACTTTCAAACGTTCGCTGCTTTTAAAGGTCACCTTTCACAATCATACGATTACGTTAAGTGAACTGTTATCCAGTATAGTATATTTGACCTGCAATAGACAAAAGGAAGTTTGCAAAAGCTAAGATAGATTTTTGTGTTCCAGCCAAGATTTCACTAGCCACCAACGCTTCTCAGCTAATGAGAATTCTAAAATAGGTAATAAAATCAACACATTCTACCATCTCATTTAATATGATCAGACTAGGTGTTGTAGCTAATCAATTTAGAATCTAATGTATGTAAATCATTTTTCAATTAGAGTTTTGGAGATTAGTGTTTGTTGCACATTGAAATCATCAATCAATCATTGTCAGAACACCAGCAGAAACCTGGAAGCACTGGACGGTCGTTTCGTCCTGGTATGGGACTCATCAGCAGTGCGCATCCACGACTCCTGCGCCTTGCAGAATTCGAACCCAGGACCTTCGGTCTTGCATAATTTTATTTTCATAAAATATACACAATTCAACATTTATTTTATTGTATTTAGTCTTGTTTGTTTACATTCATAATGTATCTATCTTACTACTGTACATGAACTATCAATAATAAAATGGTTAACCAGTGATAAACAATGAATTCAATTATAGAATATTTTTAATAGCAAATTAGGTAAGAAATATTTCCTCAAAACATCTCTAAATAGTGATTTTATTTTTTATTACAAATATTGATTTGATTTGTTCTAATTTTTTTCTTTTGGACAATTAATTAGTGGTTGGATTAAATTAATTTCATTAAATTTAATTGTTCCATGGTGTTTCGCTTTATTTTTTTTGTCTTACTTCATTTTTATAGTTAGTTATACCTTTATTAAAAGTTGGAAATATAATTTTATTTAGTAAACTATTCATTACTATTCAAGGATCAAATAGTTCAAAAAATATGAAATGGTTAAATACAGCATCTGAACTTATTCCTGTTCAGTTGAACAATACTGAAAGCATTGATGAACAAATTCTTGTAACTGGTACTCGTGATGGTGGAATTTATTCTTACATTGTTAATGCAAGTGTATTTTTGATTTTTTAATCTTTACCAATATATAAATAAATTTGATATCAAAATATTTTTTAAAGTAGTAGCCAGTTGTAATTAGCATAAATGTCGGATAACTCAAATAGCCTTATCAAATCAGCACAAATAAGGTGGATATCAAACGAATCAGAGTAGTTTTGGTATTAGTGATATTAAAAATGGCTCAAAATTTAGAAAAAATTTAGAGAAAGCATGTAAAAATTACGTTTAAAGGAATATTGTTATATAAGTTTTAGGGAAAGATAAATAGTGCATGTATCTATCGAAATATCTGATATACAATTGTGGCGGATACTACTGTAGTGAATGAGAACACAGGTGGGGCAACCGAATTGTATTTAACGAAAATTACAGAGTTACTCAGTGAAATCGGAAAACCATATCGTAAATCGTTCATTTGCAAAAGATCGGTTCATCCTATGGAACTGGACTGTTCCTGTTGCCAAACATCAATCCATTGTCACTATTCATGCGTTTCATACAAATTCCATTGTTTTCTAACTCTTCCTTTCTTGATCTTCCCCCCATATTATGCTACCAGACTTTACGTTGACACTCACGTCATATACTACTTATAAGTAGTTCGCACCACAGCACCACACTCGTCCCTCCTTTTAATAAGCTGTCGTCGTAGTCTTTCTGATCTCCGTACAGCCGTCTTCTTTATCAGTGTTTGTGGCTCGCCCTCTTGGCGCACTTGGAACCACCTTTGGAGTTCACTGGCATTCACGCGTTTCTGTTTGTTTCCTTTCTGGATCGTATACACTGCGCCGCGCCTCTCGGTGACGACGTACGGTCCCTCCCACTTTGGGATCAGCTTACCTGACCCTGGCCCTCTTCCTGTGGTATATATCCGTCCTCTACACTTCACCTGGTCTCCTACTTCAAACAGTCTCCAGTTCTTTCTCTCCTGTTCTGACTTCTCCATGTCTGATGTTTGTTTCTCTCTCACATTCCTGATTGCTTGTCTCCGCTCTGTTTTCAATCTTGTTGTATTCCATCTCTGTTGTTGCGGCCAGGTTTTATCATGCGTTGGTAGTCTCGGCCGTCTGCCGTACATCAGCTGGAACGGTGACTTCCTGGTTGTTCCCTGTGCCGAGGCACGATGTGCCAGCAAGATTAATGGTAATTCTTTCTCCCAGTCACCCCCTTTAGATGCTAGCCATTCCTTTAGCGTTCGGTTATTCCTTTCCGTTAACCCATTCGTCTGTGGATGATACGGCGTTGTTCGTACTCTCTTGATACCTAACTGCTTTAGACGGGACTTGAACTCATCACTCTCGAAACAGGGACCTTGATCGGTTAATATTATCTTTGGTATCCCATGGTCCGCCACAATGTGCCGCATTACCGCTTCCGTCACCGTCCTTGCACGTTGGTCCGCCATCGGCACGGCATTTACCCATCGTGTGGCATGCTCAGTCATCACCAGCAGGTACTGGTTACAACTTGTCGTCTGCGGGAACGGTCCCATAACATCTACTGACCACAAGTCACCAACTGCTGTTACTGGAATTTACTGCAATGGCGGTCGTATGCATCGATCCCCTTTCATTAGTTGACATCGCTGGCACGCTAATACATATCGTGCAACATCGTCTCTCATACCCGGCCAGTACGCACTTTGCCGCAGCAAATCAGTTGTCCGTGCAATACTGTGTGCGCTACCTGGTGACATTCACGAATCATCTCCTGGCGCAGATCTTTTGGGATTATTGCTACCCAATTCTCGTCATCATCCCGCCAGGTCAGGACTCCATATGCGTTCACTCTCAGTCGTTCCTTTTGCTCAAGTAACATTATTACCTCCTTGTCCGTTGTTCGTTTGTCTACGTCTTCTCCTTCTTTTATCACTCTGATTACCTCTCGAAGGTTCGGGTCAGCTTTCTGTTGCCGGATGAGTTCTAATGGGTCTCCATCTAAACTATTCACCGCGTATGCTGTCACTGGAAGGTCATCTTCCATGTCTGATCTTGACAAGTAATTCGCCATTACGTTTTCTTTTCCTGGAACATGGCCGATACTGAAGTTGTATTCTTGCAGACGTATCATCCACCGCGCCAACTTCCCTCGGGGGTCTCTTGCTGTTCTCAACCACTGCAGGGGTTTATGGTCAGTCTCAATGTGAAATCGTCTACCTAAAAGGTACGGTCTCCATTTCTCTACTGCCCACACGATTGCTAGGCACTCCTTTTCGATCGTTGAATACTTCTGTTCGGCGGGTGTGAGAACGCGACTTGCGTATTCCACCACTCTATCAGCCTGACTCAATACCGCACCTATACCATGATCACTTGCATCTGTGGCCACTGTAAACAGTTTACCGGGTTCAGGCAGTCTCAGCGTCATCTGACGATCGTCTAGCATGTTTTTGATTTGGTTGAACGTTTGTTCGGCAGCCTCAGTCCATGTAAACTTGGTGTTGCTCAGCAACTTATATAAGGGCGCTGCTATTTCCTTGAAATTATTGACAAACCGACTATAGAACGCCGCTCTTCCCAGGAACTGTCTCAACTTCCTTTTCGAATTAGGTACTGCAATATTTTTATGGTAAGAATTTTCTCTGGTAATGGCTTTATTTCTCCATTTCCCACCTTATGTCCCAACAATATGACGCTGTTTTTCGCTATCTGCGACTTTTCCTTATTAATTCGAAGCCCAAATTCGTCAATTCGCTTTAAGACCGCCTCCACATGCTTGACGTGATCTGTTTCCGTCAGGCTGTATACAACTACATCGTCGCCATATACCTCCACAACTACCTATAAAAGATAGTGATCACAACAAGACAGCATTTACTATACGGGATAAACAGTATCAATCTAAACGAATGCCGTTCGGGTTGGCTGGTGCACCGTTCACGTTCAGAAGATTGATGACGCTGCTGCTTAAGAATCTAGATAATGTGGAGGTATATGGCGACGATGTAGTTGTATACAGCCTGACGGAAACAGATCACGTCAAGCATGTGGAGGCGGTCTTAAAGCGAATTGACGAATTTGGGCTTCGAATTAATAAGGAAAAGTCGCAGATAGCGAAAAACAGCGTCATATTGTTGGGACATAAGGTGGGAAATGGAGAAATAAAGCCATTACCAGAGAAAATTCTTACCATAAAAATATTGCAGTACCTAATTCGAAAAGGAAGTTGAGACAGTTCCTGGGAAGAGCGGCGTTCTATAGTCGGTTTGTCAATAATTTCAAGGAAATAGCAGCGCCCTTATATAAGTTGCTGAGCAACACCAAGTTTACATGGACTGAGGCTGCCGAACAAACGTTCAACCAAATCAAAAACATGCTAGACGATCGTCAGATGACGCTGAGACTGCCTGAACCCGGTAAACTGTTTACAGTGGCCACAGATGCAAGTGATCATGGTATAGGTGCGGTATTGAGTCAGGCTGATAGAGTGGTGGAATACGCAAGTCGCGTTCTCACACCCGCCGAACAGAAGTATTCAACGATCGAAAAGGAGTGCCTAGCAATCGTGTGGGCAGTAGAGAAATGGAGACCGTACCTTTTAGGTAGACGATTTCACATTGAGACTGACCATAAACCCCTGCAGTGGTTGAGAACAGCAAGAGACCCCCGAGGGAAGTTGGCGCGGTGGATGATACGTCTGCAAGAATACAACTTCAGTATCGGCCATGTTCCAGGAAAAGAAAACGTAATGGCGAATTACTTGTCAAGATCAGACATGGAAGATGACCTTCCAGTGACAGCATACGCGGTGAATAGTTTAGATGGAGACCCATTAGAACTCATCCGGCAACAGAAAGCTGACCCGAACCTTCGAGAGGTAATCAGAGTGATAAAAGAAGGAGAAGACGTAGACAAACGAACAACGGACAAGGAGGTAATAATGTTACTTGAGCAAAAGGAACGACTGAGAGTGAACGCATATGGAGTCCTGACCTGGCGGGATGATGACGAGAATTGGGTAGCAATAATCCCAAAAGATCTGCGCCAGGAGATGATTCGTGAATGTCACCAGGTAGCGCACACAGTATTGCACGGACAACTGATTTGCTGCGGCAAAGTGCGTACTGGCCGGGTATGAGAGACGATGTTGCACGATATGTATTAGCGTGCCAGCGATGTCAACTAATGAAAGGGGATCGATGCATACGACCGCCATTGCAGTAAATTCCAGTAACAGCAGTTGGTGACTTGTGGTCAGTAGATGTTATGGGACCGTTCCCGCAGACGACAAGTTGTAACCAGTACCTGCTGGTGATGACTGAGCATGCCACACGATGGGTAAATGCCGTGCCGATGGCGGACCAACGTGCAAGGACGGTGACGGAAGCGGTAATGCGGCACATTGTGGCGGACCATGGGATACCAAAGATAATATTAACCGATCAAGGTCCCTGTTTCGAGAGTGATGAGTTCAAGTCCCGTCTAAAGCAGTTAGGTATCAAGAGAGTACGAACAACGCCGTATCATCCACAGACGAATGGGTTAACGGAAAGGAATAACCGAACGCTAAAGGAATGGCTAGCATCTAAAGGGGGTGACTGGGAGAAAGAATTACCATTAATCTTGCTGGCACATCGTGCCTCGGCACAGGGAACAACCAGGAAGTCACCGTTCCAGCTGATGTACGGCAGACGGCCGAGACTACCAACGCATGATAAAACCTGGCCGCAACAACAGAGATGGAATACAACAAGATTGAAAACAGAGCGGAGACAAGCAATCAGGAATGTGAGAGAGAAACAAACATCAGACATGGAGAAGTCAGAACAGGAGAGAAAGAACTGGAGACTGTTTGAAGTAGGAGACCAGGTGAAGTGTAGAGGACGGATATATACCACAGGAAGAGGGCCAGGGTCAGGTAAGCTGATCCCAAAGTGGGAGGGACCGTACGTCGTCACCGAGAGGCGCGGCGCAGTGTATACGATCCAGAAAGGAAACAAACAGAAACGCGTGAATGCCAGTGAACTCCAAAGGTGGTTCCAAGTGCGCCAAGAGGGCGAGCCACAAACACTGATAAAGAAGACGGCTGTACGGAGATCAGAAAGACTACGACGACAGCTTATTAAAAGGAGGGACGAGTGTGGTGCTGTGGTGCGAACTACTTATAAGTAGTATATGACGTGAGTGTCAACGTAAAGTCTGGTAGCATAATATGGGGGGAAGATCAAGAAAGGAAGAGTTAGAAAACAATGGAATTTGTATGAAACGCATGAATAGTGACAATGGATTGATGTTTGGCAACAGGAACAGTCCAGTTCCATAGGATGAACCGATCTTTTGCAAATGAACGATTTACGATATGGTTTTCCGATTTCACTGAGTAACTCTGTAATTTTCGTTAAATACAATTCGGTTGCCCCACCTGTGTTCTCATTCACTACACTACCACTAGGTGGAACATAAGTAATATGTTGCAGACGGTCACTCAGAAGTTGCTACGAGATAGAAGAATATCTGGCGATCGAATTATATTGCGCTGGCATAGAATACTAAAGAGCAGAATAGATGTGAGAAAAGATTATCAATTACCTGCTTGTATCCCAAGTAGATGTCTGAAGTTTTTATGCATATATTTTGTAAATAAACTGTATCTTCTCCATATATATATATATATATATATATATATATATATATATATATAAGTAAATAGCGTCTAGTCTTGGCTTTGTTGTCCGTTACACTAGTAGAGACTAAACGATTTAGTAATTAAATGTAACAACGAGAATAATAGAAGCACTGACCAGTAGTTGTAATCATTTGACAAGTAAAGGGAATTATAATTCATTAGCCTAGTTGATGACAATGAAAGCTTCGAAGTTAAACCATCGAGCTCGGAGAACTTTATACCACTAAAATACCTTAAACGCTTTGTCTTAGACACTAGTACAATGACAGATATTAACATTTCATCCAATGTACATGTTGCACGGTACCTTAGTAGCGTAAAACAAATAATGTAAATATTTCCCCGTAAAATTTTTATCAAATTCCTTTTTAGACTATAAAACATTTATATTAAGAAGTGACTGTATACACTAGTCCAGTTACTCTGTTTAACTTCTGTAATTCTACAATATGTAGGTCCTCACTTCAGTAATCTGATATGCTTTATTGATACTTCACCATGTATCGTATAGGCGGAGATTTTATCAATTGCTATTATTTCATTAGCTTGAAAGAACCACTAAGTAGTGGGAATTCGAATCACATGAGTCAGCTCATCATTTCTTTCAAAATAACAGCCACACCTCACGTATGAGTGCCAATTTTCCTGATCATCCTGGTGATTACTTTTAACTAAGTTACATCAAAGCATAAGGCACCATATTGTCGAGTTACCTAAACTGGCGGTCACATTAAAAATTTGATGATAAGATTTTTTTTTAGTACCAACGATTTGGTATTATGAAACTAATTACTACTAACTGAACAATTAAGTATAAAGATGATCCAAACATCCTCAATTAACTTAGTTCATCGATGTATTTTTCTTATTACTTAAAAACTTCTTAAGTTTGAGTTTCAGTAAATATCTCTGTTGAACATGTTTATTTTGTGGACACTTTCATACATAGAAATACCGTATTTTAGAAGTACTTTTGTTACATATCTATATATTCAACCCAATGTTCCTTATGTTTTAACTTCTTTTGCACCGTTGTTTCATTTCACTCATCATTATTACCATTCAGTTAATCAATAAGTATTTGTCGCGTCTGTATTTTATTTATCCAGTTTTTAAATGAAAGCATTAAAGTCTATTCACCAGTATGGTTTTCAAAGTCATCTCATAAACGTGGTGGATGTACATCAATGCTTTTAATCAAGGGGAAATCAGATTATCAACTTTTATCATGTGGTCGAACGTATGGTGATGTTAAATATTGGTCCATTCAATCAAATGGTTCATTAAATCTATTGGCAACAATTTTAAGATCTGATCATATGACATGGATTGAGAAATTATATAGGTCAATCGATGACAGGATTTATGCTTTAGGATTTCAATCTGTAAGAATATCATTGGTTTCTGTCAAATTCTTTATGTGAATACTTAATAAGTTGTTCTGTCTTTCATGCAGTTGATTAGAATTTTTGTATTTTGATAATTTAAAGAATTTTCGTTATAGGGTTGTGGAGATTGTTGAGTTACTTTTAAATCATGAATTGATCAATGTTAGATCACCGTTAAAAACCCAGAAGCACCAGATGGCCATTTCGTCCTATTATGAGGCTCATCAGCAGTGCGCATCCACAACTCCCGCTACTCACAGTAATCGATCCCGCATGCGAACGCTTGATTACAGAATTACTTTCTATATCTTTAGGTAATAAATTACTGACTTCTATCGAATTTGTATGTTATGACCTATGAATGAATACCAAGGTTTGGTTAATTAGCAAAGATATATAACTTGACATAACCAAGTCATGGGCTTTATCTGATTGTCTTTTCGTTAGTTTGGTCTGATTAATATTGCTATTGCTCGGTAATTTACTCTAAGAATAGTTAATTTTTTAAAATTTTCTGTGCAATGGTACAATTGTACCACATTTTTTCCGGAATATGGAGCTTCTCACCATTATAACAATTTATTTTACAAATGATATTAGATTTATTTTGCTTATAGCCTGCGTATTCATTAAATCTAACGCTTCAATGATCGAAATATTCACCTCAGAGAATACAACACCGCTAAACTCGTTCTCTTGTACTATAGTTATCCTCTATCTCACTAAAATGCATATTTATCACTTGATAATTAAGTCATTAAAAGTATTTGGTTTTTACTTTCTATCTTGTTTTATTTACTTATTTTATAATAACAGAAGTATTTCAAAGCTATCTCATTAAATCATAAATGTTTACAAGCAGATAATCAGTTGGATTGGTCGTTTATCTGTCCAATACGTCAGGATGGTTGTTTTGTTGTTGATTGTGGTGGTGGTAATCATTATTGGGATTGGTTTTTACCCAGTTGTACTGTAGAAACAAATAAACTTACTAGTTGCGATGATTACGGTCATAGTCACAATCCTAACATTGTTGTCGATAATGATGAATCTATCGAAACGGAGATCAGTTCATTATGTCCTGTCTTTGCAAGTATCAATCGAGGCAAAGTTGTCATTCAATCAGACTTGCACAGTTGTATATTATCATGTAATGTAAATAATTCCGAACCTGTTTATTTAAATGTAAGTTTGTTATTATATGTTTTTACGCCTATATTGTTAGTCAGAATAAAGAATTGGTTTTTAAAAAGCTTTTTTTCATATTAAATAACTGAGTCAAAACTAGTTCTGTTTATGAGTACAGAATGAGTTGGGATAGTATTGAAACACTTCCTGACCATATTTGTAAATTGTTTCTTAGATGTTTAAAATTAAGGGGGAATGTAGAGAATTTTAGTTAAGAGTTCTGATTGGATGAGTGGTTCTCGGTCTTTAAGATATTTTAAGCAGCTTACATCCTTTGTCATTTTACTAAAAATACTCCTGTCTTGTTATCTTGACATTAAATACTAGTGCTAGTACACATTTTGTTGGCATCATTTCATATACATGTGCTTAACCCTAGGCATGAAGTATGTTGCTCATGGTTTATTCATCATACTTTAGTTGTAAAATTACAACTCTTAGGTTGATACTATTTAGTGTAGTGATAGCTTAGTGATTAAGGTACTCTGAATTTAACCACTAGGTCTCGGGTTTGAATATCATTCCATTTACCTCGGTCCAATTATATATATAATCCACCATACAAATCATTTATAATCTTGGTATATCTTAATAGCTTTAAGAACACTACTTTTTTATTCTTTCAAGTTTCATTATTTTTAGAGCGATGTGAGTATAAGACGGCAGTGTACTTGGACGTCATTGTTGTATACTTTTGGAATTCAGAATTAATAGTTTATGTGCTTTTTCTTTCAACTAGTAGGTTAATGATTCAAATTTGAGTTTATTTTTTGAAAATCTAAACACCACATAGTCTTCTAAGTCTTTACATAATAAATATGCTTAAAAGTTTATTGATAAACCTGTATTAAATTCTTAAGCGTTTTTAGAAAAACGTAGACTATTAGATTTTTCTTCTTTAACTTTAATAAAACAGCTACTACTTGTTTGATATACTTTACTGTTGTTATTTGTTTGCATTTTTAAAAATTTTATCTCATCATTTCACAAGCTTTTTTAAAATATATATTTCAGTCATCTCTTCATGGTCAAACAATTAACACTTGTTTATTACTCAATAAATATGATTTGTTCGGTGGTCAGAATTATTCTAAAAGTTAGTTTTATTCCATATTTTAAAAAATATATCATGTTAAATATAAAAGTTTTTTTAATGACTTTTATACAATTACTTGTGAATTAAAATTGACAAATCAGTAACATTTGGTTTATTGCATAAGCTGTTACTTCCTATCATGCAGTAGAGATTTGTAACGTCACTAATCATTAATGGACTGAAGCTTCGATCATCAGTTACCGAGTTCTGATCAACCCAATAATTTTATGTAGTGTTTATGACCTTCAACGTAACAGATGAGTCTGTACATATTTTCTGAGTTACAGTGGTGGTGTTTATTCGATACTGTCAACCTACGCTGAATTAGTGTTTATGTGAATTGTAGTCATAACACTAACGTGCATTGTTCTAAGTGATTGCCCCGCAGATTTTTATACGAATAAGCTGTTTCCTATCAGATATCAGTTTTACATATCGTAGAACTGCTTCAGTACAATTCAAAAGGGAAGGGATTTTTCAGAAATTATTACGAACATAAATTTGTATTTACTTAAATCACTGAGTTTTATACCTTACAGAATCATCCTTTTATTTAAGGACTTTAATCATATATATCTGTTGTATATTGAAATGAAATAGCTTCACTATCATAAGTCGGCTGTTATTTGTCATACAATATCCATCGAATTGTCTGTTACGCAAAAACATAATGAAACCGTAATCAAAGAATATATATTCACTGAATGGTAGAGGTTTTTTTGTAACTGTGAATTCTTCACTATGTCATTATGTTTCCTTCATTCTTACACCATTTTTATCTAGGGAAACACCGAAGTTTTACGAAATTAGTTTACAAACTATTAATAATTAGACAGTGGACTAGTGTTGCTTTTACTGAGAATTTTTTACCCTTATTTACTCTTCCTGTGTTGTAGTATTTTACCCCGTTCAAATGTAGTCACTTAAGGAAAAAGATGAAAGTAAATTTCCTACTCCTAACTGTGTCTACTTATAAGTAACATAATTGTTTTTTTGAAATTTCTTCCCGATGGTTAATGCTGACATTGTTGACTTGTATTTATCAAGATGTACATTTCTGAATAACCAATGTTTTGTTGAGTATCGCTATTGCATTAATTTTTCAACCAATAAATTTTCTAATATCCTTTAGTCAATAAGTTGTAGACTTCGTTTCTTTTCATGAAATGTAATATTGAAACTTTTGTGTTGACAAACGATCAGTGCAAAAAAAACTGAGTCCTTGCTACTTTCTATACCTGAGTGAGAACTGATATCTCTTGATGCAAGGGAGAAGGCAAAAATACATACGAAACTTTATTATACACTACAACTAATTCAAAAACCCTATCAAAATCACACTGGGTTATACATCATTTAGTTATTTGATCATTGGTCAAATGTGAATAAATTGAACTAGCTAGTTCTTCACATTAATTAATCATCACCCTAATGGTTGAACATCATTTATTGTGTCAGTAGATGTAGTTGTTTCAACCAACAATTGTAAATAAATTACTAAGTTACATATTTTCTCTTTTACACAAATGATATAAAATCTCTCTTTGACAATGGGTTCACATGTATTATGTTGTTTTTATGTTTTTTTAGGTGATTCAAATGATGAACAAACTGAATTATATTGTTTTGCTGGAGGAGAAGATACTTTGATATCGAGTTGGAAGATATCATTGCCAGTGATGAGAACTGATTCACATATACATGGTAGATGACTAATTCACCACTAACAGCCTGTTTGTCATTGATTCTCGTTTTTCTCTCCCTGTTGTTTCTGATTCATATATCTCTAGTTATTCCGTAATATTACGTAATCTGATATAGTTATTAAGTTATCACTCTTAAGTCGTAATTATAGTTGATGGGCTGCAGAGGTTACGTGATTGGTCAAATTTATTCTATATAGTTTCATCTAACATATACGTAAATTCGTACTGTTAGCTGTTTAAACTATAACACCACATTATCGGTTGTCAAGGCCTTGAAACCTCACCCCTCTGCCTTTTCATCTGTTATCATTTGTGCTTATATTTTATTTACTGTTGTACAAGTTGACCTTTTCAAGATGTCAATAGCAGTGCTTGCTAGTTGAATTTAGTATGTTCGATGTGACAAAATAAGCCCATGTGATTATTTAAAGATTGTTTAGTTGATCTTCGGAGTTAATCCGATTAGTGTGTCCAATCGATTATTGATCACAAATCCAGGTTATTGACTTAATATCCCTGTCGTGAACTAATGATAAAAGTCGAACTAATTAATCACAAAACAAAGTCGTTTCCTACTTACAAAATGCTACATCTTTGAATGTGAGTGTTCACAAAAAATGACTATGAATAAAATGTCATTTGAGATGTCGATAACTGTAAGATACGGGTTCTGTAGGTCACTGAGGCTTACCTTATTCGGATTGTATTAATGTTAATGTTATGGAAGGTCGAGAAAATAAAGCTAATAATGTCAAAACTAGTAACAAACATCTGTAGAAGTTAATTAAAGAAACAAGTTAAATGTATATATTTCATGCTATTTTCAAATTTAAAGTAAATTACTAACCATTAGTTATTAATAAATATTTTCATTTCCCACCCTTGTAACTTACTTTAAAAGCCAAACTTAAATAAAGTATCTTTTTAGTAGTTTTTAAATAGTTGACAAAAACGTCATATCATATCATATCATTTTTGTTCGCTATCTTGTTCCTCACACAGAACCAATTACTGGCTTTCCACAACATCATCGTGGTCATATATCAAGTATTCGTTGTATAAATGTACCATATATCCTTATGAACGATATCGATTCAACACAAGAAACTGTTTCCAAACGTTACATGTTGAGTGCTGGTGGTCGTGGTCAGATTTGTTTATGGCGTTTAGTACCACCAAATGAACCTGTAGTAGTAGCAATAGGCTTCTTAGGTTCCAAGAAAATTCGACATGATGAATACTATCAAGTTGATGATAATTCTGATGATAACGGTGCTGTGAAGCAGGAGGACGGTAGTGATAATGAGGATGAATTGAAACGTGCTAAATTTAAAAATGTGATTGTATCAAGTGATATCCGTGTAATGGCTTTGGAATGTATTCATATTCCTAAACAAGATGATCAATTAGTTGATAATATACTAGTTATTGCAGGTTGTTCGGATGGATATGTGCGGTAAGTAATTTGATGTTTTTCTTGTGTGTCCAGTAGATACACGAGTTATATTCATAAGTACTCTATTTAACAATATTTATCGAAAATTAATCTTATTTTCTTCAAAATGCTTCTTATTTGTAACAAAACACTTGTCCCAGCATAATTTTGATAGTTCAAAATATTCTTAAATGCTTTCAGCAACACAGGTTAACAATCATCCTAACCTTGTATCATGTTTGTATAATGACTACTTTTACTGAAACGCTGAACCTTCTTAAACATGATCTTTTTTCAAAAAAAGTAGCTCTCGACATTTCCGTAAATATATTGTTGACTGAGTTTTCAAGTTTAGCAAATATTTTCACTTTCTTTTGGTTCATTGTAACTTAAAAGTTTTTCAGAAATATCATTACAGCATAGACGATAAGGAGAGTTTTTACATGCCGACAGCTAGTACTCTCTAACCACAATATCTTTTCCTCTGAACAGAACTATGTTCTGTCATTATTAAGTAAAAATTGGGAAACCTCCGTTCTACTAAACCATTTAAAAGTAATTGAGTTTTTTTTTAAAATTCCATATTTGCAGAAGTTATCAAAGATGACCTACAGTTATGAATATAACTTCGTTGTTGCGGTTGGTATAAATTTCGTCAAGGGTTTTAAGCACTCAGTTTGCTTGTAATCCTAATAACACAACTAAGGCATTTCGTTACTAATGAGCACATATTTTCGTCACAAAAATCAATAACCATAGTACTGTAGGCATTCTAGATTTCTTGTCGACATAATACACTCTGATCACATCGCTTATAACTCCCTATAACATTCGAACTTCTTTTCTGCTCTTATTTTCTTCAGCTTGATTCACGTTCAACCATCATTTAGAAAAAATACGGAATATACAAAATTCTCAGAAATCGGTCGAATCAATCCAACGATATCATCAACTAGCAAATCAAACAACCAAATCAGTTGTTGTTTAGATTTAAAGCTTTTACAAATCACTTCCAATCAAATTTCTTTTGCTATTTCGAATTCTTCTGGAGAATTACATGGATGGACTATACCATGGTCTCCTGTAAAGGGTTGTGATTTAGCTGATAATCAGTGTAGCAATGAGCCATATATTTTTCATCAAGACAATAATATTGACGAAATATTTGATTTACGTCTAGATTCCGCCACCCATTGGATGTTAAACTGTCAACCGATTGCACCTTTTTATATACAAAACCAATTGGCTTTCAATTGCATAGCTTCGTTAATGATGGAAGTTACTTTGCTTAGCAGTAATACAATGTCAACAGTGATTGTAGTCGGTGGGGATGATGGTAGTATTCGTATCGCACAGGTGCCTGTAAATATCGATCAGTCATCATCATTGGCTTATGTAACATATCCTCGATGGTCTGCTTCGTGTGTAAGACACTTCAGTAGTGTAGTGAAAATTGTCACATGTCCTAATTTGAAATCGACTAGTGAGCCTATGTATTATTTCTTAAGTTTAGCATCGGATCAACGTTTAGTCCTATGGTGTTTAACTGAAACGTCATCATGTAATTTTCAATTAAATCCATTGAAATCTATTCTGTTATGCGGTTTAGGTGAACCGCATAGTTTATCTGTAACCAATGTAAATTATCAATCTTTATGTGTTAATACAAAAGAGCATAAAAACAAATGTTTTGTACTTATTGTTGGCACTGGTGTTCAATTGATTGAAGTTTTTTTCTAACAAAAGTTTAGTAAGCTATTGTATTTAAAGTTAACAATTTGCACAATATATATATTTTTCTAAATGTTGAATTTTTCTTTTTTGTCTAGTCGTTTCATTGTTGCTTTTAAATCTTCCGTGTTGTTGTTTTTATGAGTTGTGCTTTTTTGGCACATTTTATTTAAGAAAGTGACGTAATCGCTTAGCAACAGGTGGTGCATACTCTTAGTTGATTGTCCTAGTAAATGGATGATAATATTCATGTGATATTGTTATTAAAATATTGAATTATACCTAATTTTGATTTTTAGTGTAATATCATAATTTATGTTCAGTCTAAATTTACACACAACGATAGCTTAACTTCATAGAGAAGGTTTTTGCTTTCATTTCTAACTTTACAACTGTAACATGCACTGACCTGTCACGTATGTAACATAGACTCTTACTGATACCTAATATTCATAAAATTAACTGGGTTTACGTACTAAGTAACACTCGTCAGATTTAAACTACTGTTAAACTCTAGTATTATATTTTATCATTGAGTATAGGATTTTTATATTCGTTGAAGTTAAAATTTAATATCTGGCAATAAAAAATATAAAGATATCATCATAGAAATGAAAGTGACTGTGTTGAAAATTTTGCATGCTTCGAAACACAAATAACTCCGCCAGTAGAACCTTAGGGGCTACTGCCGGTCCCAAGCCCGGATAAAGGAGGAGGGTTGGACATGGGGTTGGCGGCCCCATTCCGTTGAAATCTAACTTGCCAAAAAAACGCTAACCAGAAAAAATAATTCAAACCATTTTAACTCTGCCCTGGGAGTTGGAAGAAGAATTATGACGTCTCGTGATGAAAGCCGAGTCCCCTCGGAAGTCACGGGGCCGATGCCTCTTCTGACAACCAGAGCAACCATTTTTTTAGGTACATGGAACGTTCGTACATTGTGGGAGACTGGAAGACTATTTCAAGTTGCTGCAGAAATGAAAAGATACAACCTCGAGGTGCTCGGCATCAGTGAAACACATTGGACACAGGTAGGACAACTGAAACTTGCTTCAGGGGAACTGCTGTTATACTCTGGTCATGAAGAGGAAAACGCTTCACATACACAAGGAGTTGCACTGATGCTGTCCAAACATGCACAAAAGGCACTGATAGGATGGGAATCTCATGGGCCGAGGATCATTAAAGCATCCTTCAAAACAAAGAAAGAGGACATTACAATGAACGTCATCCAATGTTATGCACCTACCACTGACTACAATGACGACGTTAAAGATCAATTCTACGAAAGGCTGCAGTCAATCGTCGAGAAATGTTCACCAAAGGATTTGACGATTCTTATGGGAGACCTGAATGCCAAGGTTGGAATGGACAACACTGGATATGAAGACATCATGGGACGACATGGACTAGGGAGAAAGGAACGAAAACGGTGAGAGATTTGCAAACCTATGTGCCTTCAACAAACTGGTCATCGGTGGCACAATATTCCCGCACAAACGCATTCACAAAGCCACATGGATTTCACCGGATCACACTACTCAAAACCAAATTGACCATATCTGTATCAACAAAAAGTTCAGAAGGACCATGGAGGATGTGAGAACCAAGAGAGGAGCTGATATAGCTTCAGATCACCACTTGCTGATCGCCAAAATGAGATTGAAGCTAAAGAAGCACTGGACAACGGGGCAGACAACATCACAGAAGTTTAATACGGCCTTTCTTCGGGATACCGTAAAACTCAACGAATTCAAGATAGCCCTCACCAATAGGTTCCAGGCCTTTCAGGATCTACTCAATGGAGAGGAAGCAACATTGGAGAACAATTGGAAAGGGATTAAGGAGGCAATCACTTCAACATGTCAGGAGGTCCTTGGTCGCAAGAAGCACCATCACAAGGAATGGATCTCTGTTGGTACTCTTGCAAAAATCGAAGAAAGGAGGAACAAGAAGGCAGCAATCAATGTCAGCCGAACAAGAGCAGAGAAAGTTAAGGCGCAAGCCGAGTATACAGAAGCAAACAGGGAAGTGAAGAAGAGCATCAGAGCTGACAAACGAAAATATGTGGAAGATCTAGCAATGACGGCGGAAAAGGCTGCAAGAGAAGGAAACATGAGACAATTGTACGAAACAACAAAGAAGCTCGCCGGAAACTATCGTAAACCAGAACGACCAGTGAAAAGCAAGGAAGGGAAAATAATCAGCAACACTGACGAACAGCGAAATAGGTGGGTGGAGCATTTTAAGGAACTATTGAATCGACCAGCTCCACTGAACCCACCTAACATCGAAGCAGCATCCACGGACCTCCCAATTAATATTGGCGCACCCACGATTGAGGAGATCAGTATAGCCATCAGACAAATCAAGAGCGGCAAAGCAGCAGGACCAGACAACATTCCAGCAGAGGCAATGAAAGCAGATGTGGAAGCAACTGCCAAAATATTTCACATCCTCTTCAAGAAGATTTGGGATGAGGAACAAGTACCATCAGATTGGAAAGAAGGATACCTCATCAAAATACCAAAGAAAGGCGATCTCAGCAAGTGTGAGAACTACAGAGGCATCATTCTTCTTTCAATATCAGACAAAGTCCTGAACATGGTATTCTTAAACAGAATGAAGGACTTCGTAGACGCCCAACTTCGAGATCAACAGGCTGGATTTCGTAAGGATCGATCATGTACTGACCAAATTGCTACATTACGGATCATTGTGGAACAATCAATTGAATGGAACTCACCACTCTACATCAACTTCATCGACTACGAGAAAGCATTTGACAGCGTGGATAGGAAAACACTGTGGAGGCTTCTTCGACACTACGGTGTGCCTGAGAAAATAGTCAACATCATACGGAATTCTTATGATGGATTCAACTGCAAAATCGTACACGGAGGTCAGCTGACAGACTCTTTTGAGGTGAAGACCGGTGTGAGGCAAGGTTGCTTACTCTCACCCTTTCTCTTTCTCCTGGTCATCGACTGGATTATGAAGACGTCAGCATCTGGAGGGAAGCACGGTATCAACTGGACAGTTAGGACGCAGCTGGACGATCTGGACTTCGCAGATGACTTGGCTCTTCTATCGCACACTCAACAACAAATGCAAGAAAAGACGTCCAGTGTAGTAGCAGCCTCTGCAGCAGTAGGTCTCAACATACATAAAGGAAAAAGCAAAATTCTCCGATGCAACACAACATGCACCAACCGAATCACGCTTGATGGAGATACCTTGGAGGACGTTAACACCTTCACATATCTTGGCAGCATCATCGACGAGAAAGGTGGATCGGACGCAGATGTGAGGGCGCGGATTGGCAAAGCAAGGGCTGCATTTCTACAGTTGAAAAATATCTGGAACTCCAAACAACTTTCAAACAAAACCAAAATCAGGATCTTCAATACAAATGTCAAAACAGTTCTACTGTATGGAGCGGAAACATGGAGAACTACCAAAGCCATCATCCAGAAGATACAAGTGTTTATTAACAGTTGTCTACGCAAAATACTTCGTATTCGTTGGCCAGACACCATCAGCAACAACGAACTGTGGGAGAGAACAAGTCAGATTCCAATGGAGGAGGAAATCAGGAAGAAGCGGTGGAAGTGGATAGGACATACACTACGAAAAGCACCCAACTGCGTCACTAGACAAGCCCTCACATGGAACCCTCAAGGCAAAAGGAAAAGAGGAAGGCCAAGGAACACACTACGCCGAGAAATAGAGAAAGATATGAGAGGAATGAACAAACATTGGACAGAACTGGAGAGGGAAGCCCAGGACAGAGTTGGTTGGAGAAAACTGGTGGGCGGCCTATGCTCCATTGGGGGTAACAGGCGAAAGTAAGTAAAAAGTCGAAACACAAATTCCTCAAGTGTTGGTTTCTTCTTAAGTATCACAGTCAAAAGCAATTAAATGAGTTTAGTTTCAATGTGGCATGTAAAAAGAAAACGACACGGTTGTATTATAGACACATGTGAACTATTATTTAGAAATGAATTTTTGATAATCAATCAAAAGTTTAAAAAAAATAGAGTGATAAAAAATTGAAAAATTCCTAATTTTAATTTGAAGGAATATTTAAAAATTTATGTAAATAGTTGGATGGTAACTAGTATTGGAATCCAGTACACGCATTCCAGAGTTCATGATCACCCAGGACTCAAACCCGGTACTGTTTGCTTCAAAAGTCATTATGTTATCAACATAGGATGTAGATTTGCCAAAGCAGACTGATATATTACACTCTCAAACATCAATAGGAGTATTAAAACCATCAAACCAACAAATTTATATACAAATGTAAGTTTTAATAATGATAGTCTCGATTTAGGAAGCCCATAGAACTCATTTGTAATAAATAGGTAGAAATAACAATATCATATTTTATAATATCAAGCATTGTGCCTAAATAGATTCAGTCAGTCAGTTGCAACGCAGAACTTCGTACGTATGTACATCATTTCAAGTTGCCATATCACATTCGCACAGAGACGCCAATTGTTAGTTCAAATCCCATAGTGGTAGATGTTGTAGAAGTATAAGCAGTAATGAAGAAGATTATTCAAGAGGTAGAATCTATTGAAATAAACTTAATAAGAGAAGGGTAAAGGTGATGAAGAATCCAGAGGGTTAGGATTTGAGAGAAGCGAAAGAATGGATACACCTGCGCCATTGCGAACGGTTTTGAGCTGTGTCACTCAGGGTCTCTAACCATCGATTATTATCATCTCGTGGACCCCAACCAGGTAGTCGACACCTACGGACATAACTCAGTCCACTTGTCAGTGACTTCATGGATTTGTGCCATGTCTTGGTTTGACTGTCCCTAGCCTTCTTCCAACCTACCCCTGCATCACAAAACATCGCTCGATGAGGCAGTCGGCGGTTAGGCATTCGTAACACATGTCCCAACCACCACAAATGATGAAGTTTCATAACTTCATCTACTGACCTGCCATCAGCACTTAGCACCCGTTTCCTAATAATAGCATTACTTACTC